TGGAATACAGAGCTGTGCTGGCTGGCAGGGAGAGTTCTCATTTGGGTGGCTTTGAGGCTGGTTCATATTTTGGACATTGGCTTTAATTGAATTGATTTATTGAATTCCTGACTATGCAGCCACATCTCTAGAGGGGCACATTTAATAAAGTAGGGGCGTGGGAGGAAGCACTCTAGTATGAGTAGGTAGCTGAAACCTACGTAGTCTGTGGGTGCCAAGGGCAGGTGGGATGATTCTGTGGCTTTTCAGGGAATATGCTCCATGGGCTCAGAAGGACTCCTCTTAGTCAGAGGCTGGATCTGTGGGAAAACAATATAGCAATGCTCTCCCTCACTTAAGCAGATTTACACTTCTAGGTGATACAGATGGTGTGCTGTGGAACTGCTGCCATCCACACCACAGCTTAGTGATGTGTGTTCAGAGAAAGGACTTACTTGCACCATCCCTTTCTTCTAGTCCAGGGGTGGGCAATTATTTCGGGCACTGAGTTTTGGCAAGCCATCGAGGGCTGCACGACAGGCAGCCAGGGACAGCTAAATATTAATTTTCTAAATTTTTTAGGGGACCCGCGGGCTGGATAGAATGGCCTGGTGGGCTGCATCTGGCCCGGGGCCGCATTTTGCCCACCCCTGTTCTAGTCCATCCACATGCTGGGCAAAGCAGCAATAATTTGCATCTAACTCCTTATTATTCCCAGACCTTTGGCTGATGTCTGTGTAATGCATACATTTGACCAGAATGAGTCAACTTACTGTAAAGTATTATTCTATTCATATTGTGCATTTCCCCTTGTATTATGGCTTTACCTGAAGATATCTGACTTCATCTGGACATTCAGTGGAAAATTACTAGGTAGTATACAAGTGTTCTTAGATCCCAGAACTTTATTGGTGTAATTATTGCAAGAATATTTACACAGTTTCTTAAAACTATAGTAGAAATGTTCTAAGCAGAAGCTTTACAAGGAAGGAAAGAGAGGGAGGGACATGGAAAAACTAGATGACAGTGTTTTCCTTATTTCAATAACATTCATTGTTCATCATTGGATCTCTTAGTCTTTACACATCATGTGGCACAAGTTACAATACCAGAAATAACCTATGTATAGACAAGTGTGCGCGGGAGCAGATTTATGGATTACAGTCCAATAGGCAAATGAACAGTGGGATGGGGCAATGAAAAGGCTCAGGAGGTAGGCAGGGAGAGCAGACACATAAGAGACAAACAGCTAATGTCACATGGACAGGAGGGGCACAGCTGCAGCAGTTCCCCAGCCTGTAATGGGATGAGTCTAAAGTGTCCCTATCTTCCTCACATACTGAAAGACTTCACAGAAGTTATTTCTAGTTTGTAGAGAACACTTAACCCATTAATATCACCAGACCACCAAAAATCTCTTGATTTACCAAAGCTTTGTGTTTGTATTAGACACAAATCTAGTGGCAAATCAAGGGTGTTATGGTAGAACTGGGAGAGCTGACAGCTTTTCACATTTTGGGGAGAAGGGCAGGGTGGGGGACAGGGGAGAGAGTATGTAGAATCTGGGAATTAGTTTGGCTCATTACAAAGTTAGGAGCCATTTTCAGATTTACCTTTGTTTCAAATACCCCCAAAGACATGTAGATGCAAGGCTCATCATCTCTACCCTTGGTATACTGAATCCTCTTTCTTGCCTAGGCCCTTTAATCACCAAATCTAATTCTCAAGTGCCTGAGGGACTCTGTCTTCCATTGTTTTCCCAGCTGTTCTGGTGCTCTTGCATTTAATGTCAGATGAAGACATAGCAGAGTAGCTGGGAAAAAATAACAGAGCTGCAAACTACAGTGGTCATTAAGGGAAAATAACAGCTTAGGGAGCGGAGGTTGGAAAAATATAATTATGAAACTGTTCACTATTCAAACAGTGACAACTTTCAGAGCAGATAACATTATTTATCACTTGTACAGCACTTTAGAAATAGTATCTAATTAATTCTTGTAACGTGCCTTTAAGTTATGTCAGTATTACTGTGTGTATGTTAAAGAGCATGGAAACAGAGGCAGAGAGGTTAAGAGCTCACAGAAGGAAACAGTGTCAAGACTAGGTTTAAAATACAGAGATCCTAATTCCCGGCTCTATGCTCATAATCACTAGGCCATGCCTTTCTTTAAGGTACTGAAAAACAATTTTGAAAAGAAGGAATCCCACCCCCCACAAATATCACTTACCATAATTATGTTGTTATACATGCTAATTATACAAAGGTAACAAAAGTGATTATTCATACAAAGTGCCATAAACATTCATGAAGCTTAGGAAACAAATGAGGAAAAAAAAGTTTTATTTTGAGTTGCACATAGTGAAAGGACAAAATTCTACCCTCTGGATGTGTCTGCATTGCACTGGACAGTGCACAGAGCTGTGAAAACCTGCCCTGCCCACGCCAGCACCTCATGCTGAAAAATGTTCTGCTGTCACTATTACAAGGGCACTGGCCATGTCCTGGGTGCCCACCAAAAGGCACGTGTCATGCACAGCATGGGAGCAAACAGGTGAGGTGTCCATTTTATGGAGGCACTACTATGATTTTAGACTTGCAGGGCAGCACTTAATTTTGGTATTTCTTAGTAGCCTCAATGGGAGGCAGGGATAGCAAAATATTGAGGGTGACAACAGCAGTCCCCTTTGGGCCTGATATAATTTTGCCCTTAATTAAAAATAACAAGAACAAAAAATAGACCATAGAGAAAGGAACAGAAGGCAACCCATGATCTTATTGTTTTAGGTCCATAATCTGGCACTTTTAGGTCAGGTACAGACATTACATTTTTACCAGTGTAAGTGATCAGAAACCAGTCTATAACCATAACAGAACAGAAGTTTGGCACACAGACTGGTTTTAAATGGTGGAAAATGATCTAAGATTTGCTCCCCCCCACCAATCCTGCCAAAGGGCAAGTGTGTGTTGTTTGCTAGAGCTAAATTATGCTGCTTACTGAAAACCATGTCACTTAGATCAATTCCACCTCAGGCTTTTTGAATGTCTGTACCTAGCCTTACTGTTCAGTAGCATTATGCTTTCTCAATTGTACTTGAGTAGATTTAAGATGCTATCCCTTAAATTAAACTGAAAGGCGTTCTATGCCATTTATGTTTTTCTTCAATGACAAGACTAACTACAGAAACTGGGAAAGGCACAGAATGGAAAAGCAGTCTAGTTTAGAATGTATTATTCAAACACTAACTTTTAGCAATAGTGGCAACTGTCACAAGCCCTGTTTAACAAAGGGAAAATTGTACCTCAGTATGAAACCTGGAAAAACAGGCATCAGTGACAGTGTATCCTACTTCCTGTGTATCGCTTTGTTGAATACTATACATCAATTTATGAAACGCATTTATATTCACTTCAATGTATCTTGTCTCCAATAACAGCCACAAGCAAAAGCTTTAGCAGAGCTTGTGAGAAATTCCTCCATTGGCATACATAAGATAAGGAAGGTGTACTCTAATGATTGGAGATTGACTCAATTACTAGCACAGGAAGTTTCATAGCTCTCTTTTATTAACAATTTCTATTAGAAAGCTGAATATATTTGCTAGCTTTAGAAAAAAAATTGATCCTTCTATCAATCTTGGTAGGTCTTTGGCCAAAATGACATCCTGTGGCAGTGGGTTCCACAATCTACTTGTCTATTGCATGATATTTCTTTTCATTGGTTTTGAATTTGTCACCTTTCAATATCATCAAATGTTTTTTGTTTTGGTGCCATGAGACAGCAAGACCAGAAGTTGCTACTTTCATCTCCTTTCTAAAGTTAACAATCAGTCATTTAGACCTCTCTTCATTTCAGATTTTCCATGTCTGTAATCGTTCCTCTTTGCCATCTCTGAATCCTTCTAATTTGTTATTAAACTTGTCCACGCATAGACTACTGACATTTTGCTATAAAATTACTTTAGGAAATTAAACAAAAGTTGCTTTGAAAACTGGGTTTAAGTTCAGATTTTGTTTCAAATACTCAGAATTGTATTGTGAATTTCATCCTTAATTCTGCTCATTCTAATCAGCCATCTGCCAACATCTATGTAGGCAGTTTATTTCTGTTTCATTATCAACTTTCTATTTAACTGAGTTGCTTCACCTTTATTTGCTCTGACACATCTATTCCTTTTAGTTGAGAGGTACTCATTATTTTTGCTTGTATTTGATCACATGCCATGCAGTGAAAATTTAAAGATTATTTTAAACATGTGCCTTTTATACAAATATTAGAACAGGCTTATTCAGTAACAGGATTTTTTTTAGCTTATAGAGACATTCAAATGCAAAGTATGAACTGCTGATAAGGTAAACAAATTATGAGGATATTTGTCTAACTTTTTTGTACATTTTGAGTTGTGGACAGTGACAGATAAGAAGTAGTGATAAACAGTATGGAAAAGAGCTATAAAACACAGAAAAACCTACCTGACATCTGCAAGTGTTGACCTTGCAAGCAACACAGTTGACTCAAATATTTGCCTTGTAACCATTTCTGAGAATGCAGGTATACTCTACATAAGCACTAGTTAAAATTAATGACAGGAGAATGCTGCAGAGTAACCGACATATTAACAAAACTCATCAGCACTCTTTTGAATAAAGCAGAAACACCTGCTATGCTACAATTCACCCTTCACAACTAAAGGTTACCAGACTTTTTAGTTAGATTTTATCCAAGGGAACTAAACAGCATTTCCTTCATGCCTCCTAAGACAGACTGTTTAGCGTGCCACAATTATATCCTTGTACTAGGTGACAGATGTTGGACTGAAGGAAAAAAAAAATCGTACCTTTAAGGTTATTGCACCTGTTATAAACCCTGTTTAAGCCCCGCTTTGTTGCTAGGAAAAAATAAGCTCTCTACCTTGTGTCACTAAGGAAACTAATAGTCACAGCTATGAGTACAACACCTCTTTAAACATCATGACCTTTAATAGTGTTTATCTTGATAGACATAATATGGGACAGTACTTACATCTGGACCCAGTTTCTTCAGCAGATGATGAAAAAAATTATCAAGCTCCTTCCCCTCTATGTAACCATTATCTAAACACAATTAAAACATATTGCTTATCAGACATTATTACCAATGTAATAACTACATTATTACAAATTCAGAAAATGACAACTTTGGTGAGACAATCATCTCTGTGTTTAGGGAAACTGTGTCAAACAGGTGCAGTGTTCTCTCTATTCATAAAAAAGATGTATCCACAGAAGTACATGAAAAGGCAAGATACACCTTGTCTAAAGTTGGAAGGTCCTGTTGTGAATTGACATCCTTTCTTGTAATACTTACTTTGGACTTTCTGTATCCTTAACACTAGACCTGAACCAAAAATGTAAAGGAGGGGCAGCGGGAGATATTAGGGGACACGTTCTACATAAACATTTATGTTCCGATTGCCTTCTCTGTAAGGCAAAGTCTGCTAAAAAGAGTTTTACTTTTATAGATCAAATCCACCCTGTAAAACATGGGATTTCCAGGAAGGTCTGATTCAGCTGCTTGGCGCTGAGCATCTCAATAGCAGCTGCTCAGGGAAAGCTTGGTTAGATAAAAATCATCTTTGCTGTGAAATATTTGGCCTGTTTGCCATCATGCAGTGGCAAGGGCATCAAACTGCTTGTGGGACATCCAGAAAGCTACACGGCAACTTCCAAAGGACATCACAAGACAAAGAGATGCATGAAGACCTTGATGCAAGTCACACCTGCTGGGGTAGACAGAAAAAGGCTAACACCAAGAGCACGCACAATGCCATGGTGACCTGGTGAGCTCCTTCCCTGCCCTACAGTCCTACTGTCCTCATCTTTGCCTGTCACGCACGGCATGGGTGTAATAAAGGGCACCGCACACACATCTCCACACACTCATACACCAGGGCCGGGGGATGGGGGTCTCAAGAGGTCTGACAATCCAACCCCCTGCTCAAGGCAGGATCATCCCTGAGGAAACCATCCCAGTCAACCGTCTGAGCGGCTCTTGAAAACTTCCCTGGGAGGGTCCCACACCCTCGCCCCGCAGGTAGGGACACAGGCCCCCGTCCATGCACAGCCCCGCAGCCCCGGGCGAGGAGGGGTCCGAGCTCACCGTCCTCATCGAAGCGCTGCCAGATGTGCAGGAAGGCGGCGGCGTCCAGCTGCGGCAGCCGGCCGCCGGCCCTGGGGCTGGGGAGAGC